ACACACACACACACACACACACACACCATGAACACACACCCAGAACAGTGAGCAGCCATTTTTTGCACTCTGAGACTCGAACCCACAACCTTTGGGTTACAAGTCCGACTCTCTAACCCCGCATTTAATGAAAATTAAATTAGCTCAAATGTACAATTTTTACAATTTAAAATACTTTCTTTTCAGGTTTTTATTTGGATTTGTGTGCGCATGTGTGTTTGTTCAAAAGTGCACTCACACCAAAGCATCAGTTTTGTTTTATGATTGTAGAAATACAGTAGTTAGCCAGCAGCCACGTATGGAAACCTGTTATTGCCATAAAGAGTAAAAAATAAAACAGGTGATTGTGAGAAAAAGTTTGAAGTAAGGAACAAGATGTACATTTGCAATTGTGAGATATAATCACATTGTGAGATATAATGTCACATTTTGACTAGCCAGGCCTATTGGAAATACATGCCTCTATCTGCGTTTCTGCAAAACTCAAAAAACTTACCTATATGTACTGTACAAATCAGTTTCCAGTTGAAATGAACACTAGAGGCAGTAAAACTTTTATTCCTTTTCACACAAAGTATGATTTACAGGTCCAGAGTTTTGATTAAGAAAGCCTAATTTTCTCACAATTCCTTGCACAATATTATGTCTTCATATTATTGTCGACATTATGACAATATTGTTGATATTATGACTTCAAAACAATTTTAACATGCTGTGAGAATTGAAAACTGATAATTTTGAACGTTAGCGTCACATATCCAGCTTCATATGTATGGGTTTTCTAACACAGTAGGTTTGTTCGGTAGCTCACTCGATACAGTATACGCTACGGTTCGAATCCTGTGAAACTACAGTTCAACAAAACAGCTCAAACCCTCGTATAAGGAAGTTAAAACAGCACGACTGCATCAGCGAATGGGTTTTATATCACTTTAGCTATCGTTAACACTATCAGGTAGGTTTAGGGTTGGGTTTACTTGCCTGAAGCAATGTAATAAAAACGTGGTCATCACGTATTGAACGTGCATTTTAGCACCACTCACCAGACATTTCACTTACCTTCCATAAAGGTATGTAATATCGCAGAATATTATAATAATATGTTGCATATAGTAATATGTTGCAGAAACGTCACTAAAAGTACGTGTTTTCCATGAGCCTGGGTTGCATTTTGAGATACAAAGACACAGTGAGAAATAAAGTCGCATCTGTGAGATTTAAAGTCAGAATTACGAGAAATAACATCGCAACTGTGAACTATAATGTGTCAAGAGTGACAATAATGAGGAAAAAAATCATGATGATCTCTTTATTTTTTTGTTTAGAGTGGGTAACAGACTTCCAAAGACATTCAGTTATTTCTCATATCATATCTCGTATCTGATAAGAGGGAGGTTATTCAGATAAAGTGTGACGGCTCCATTAGGTGACCGGCGGCCTTATGATGTGACCGACTTCATGTAAAATACAACAGTTTTGCTACTAATATAACTGGAGTCTTTATCTCATCTGCAATAAGTACTGTTCTTTTCCTAAGGGGTAAATGCTTTACTGCAAGAAAACACTGAGTGCACTTTTAAGGCCATGTTAAAATGTCAATGTGTTTATAATTCAATTTTTCATGGAACACAGATGTTGGATTTGTTTTTAGTCTGACCAAATCCCACAAGCACACACTCTTCCAGACATGGGCACTACCTCAAACTGGAGCTACAGCAAACAGACACAGCTGTGATTAGATTCATCTCCGAGATATTGACATTAATCTCACATTTGTGCCTGTCACATTGATTTCCCCCCTCTTTTGTCTTGGTACCCCTCTCATTGTGTTAAATTTCTGTATTACAAAAACAGACTTTAAACTCAGATTTAATGTCCGAGATTACGAAAAAATTCCGAACCCGTCATCGCCCATCATTTTCATACTTTTCCAATAGCTTCTCAATAGTGCTGTCAGTGGCCATCATTCACCTGGATTATTCCCTCTGCCACGTTCCCTACATTTGTTGATCTGGTTTATTCTCTCTGTTCACAGCCGACTGGAGCAGAACTCCATCAAGGTTATTCCGCCAGGAGCATTCGCACCTTACAAACGCCTGCGGAGAATGTGAGTGTGTCCATGTGAGCACACATACATACATAATTACACACTTATTCCTCATTTTTCTCTAACTTTCTTCTTTTTTTCTCAGAGATTTGAGTAATAATCAAATAACCGAACTGGCTTCAGACTCCTTTCAAGGTCTCCGATCTTTGAATTCTCTGTGAGTATCTATGTATATCTGTGTGTGTGCGTGAGAAGAGAATGTAAGAGTTACATTAAGCTTCCATTCTTCAATTATTGATGATCTGACTCATTCAAGCTTTTAGAGAACAGAACAGATAAATCCCTGTAGAGTCAGAGTCAAACATACGGGACACTTGTCATTTCAATAGACGTACAGTTTTAAAGGTGCCATCTTAAAACAAGTTGTATAAATAAATAAATGAATAGTACTGATCTCATAGGAAAACAAAGTATTTTACAAGCAGGCGATTTTATATGAATTCAAATGATTTGATTTGTTGGTAACACTTTAGTTTAGGGACCAATTCTCACTAGTAACAGTTGCTTATCAGCATGCATATTTACGGAGCCCCGAACATGACATGCAAGAAAAAATAAATAAATCGTGTGCACAATTGACTAATTAGTTCCCTCGATGTACTAAACCGTGCATAGGATTACTATTTCGTTCCCTCGATTTGCTAAGTCGTGCACACAATTTACTAGTTCTCTCGATTTATAAATCTTGTGCACGATTTAGCAAATCAGGGGGAATGAATTAGTAAATCGTGCACAGGATTTAGCCTACAATTTTTTTCCTGCATGCCATGTGCGGAGCTCCGTACATATTACTAGTATATTGGCTGTTTATTAGCACTTATAAAGCACATATTAATAGCTTATTCTGCATGAGCATATTTTAGATCCCTTAATCCAACCCCATACCTAAACTTACCAACTAACTTACTATGATAAGCAGCAAATTAGGAGTTTATTGAGGCAAATGTCATAGTTAACAGTGAAAATCGGTTCATAAATTAAAGCATGACCAATTTAAGAAAAAGCAAGTAAGCTTGGTAACTCCAAGACTAAAGACGAAAAAAAAAAGTTTTTACTGTATATGGCTAAAGCCTTAGAATATGAAACACACTAATATAAGCTCTTGCTCAAATATGTTAAGCTATTTGTTTTGGCCTGGCATTTTCAGTGTGCAGATGTGTGTGTTTTAGGGGGATGGGATGTATATGTCCTACTTGCTTGGTCTGTGTGTTTTCTTTGGTTTTCTTTACTGACCGGGTTCCAATGAGCCAGAACTTAGTGGGCGGATCAGTTCTCCCTCTCTCTCTCTCTCTCTCTCGTTCCCTTCGGACCAGCCTCTTAGGAACACCAGCCAGCCATTGCAAATCTCTCCTGCTGA